GAGAAAAGGGAAGGATCATTGCACTAGAAGCCAGCAATCTTATGGTTGTGGTGGTTGAGCACTGAATTTGACTGAGCTTCCTGGCAGCCAAAGCAAAAGAGAATATGCAGTGGTTTCTACTGTTCTTGTTGTTCTACCAGAAGCAAATTAATGATTCATTGGGGGGAAAACTTTTTTCTGATACTGAATTATAGGAGGACTTGACAAAGAACTTGAATATTCTGATGGGCAGCTTCTCCAGAGGTTTTTCTTTTCTTTTCTTTTTAAAATACTGTTTGTATGATCTTTTTCTTTTATTGCCTCTAACAAATGTGAATTCTCAATATTCTCTCACAGACAAATGAAGGCACTTCCGCAAGGGCTTTAATTAATGCTGAGAAGGGACATTGCGTTCTAGTCACCTGATTTGGTGAGGGGAGGGCAGGGGATGTTAGTATATCACTTGGAGCTGTTGTTTAAATACTTCTCAGTTCCTGAGAATTGTGGCTTATTTCACGCTGCTGGACCATACATTTGCTCATTTATTCAATTAGGACTTAGGGGGCTGTAGGGTTGTTCTGTGTTCTATGCACTCGAGGCAACCTGAAGGGAGATAGACCAACAGTTATGATATGTAGAAAAGAAATATGATGATGGTGATCTGTGAAAAATGCCACTGAGTATGGAATCCTAGAGAAGAGAATGATTATTTCTTTGTAGGTGTGTAGGGCCAGCGATGGCTTACTGATGAGGTGATATTTGAGCTGGGTGCTGTGGACAATGTAGGAGCTCTCTCAGCAATTGAGTTGGGGCATCCAGTTAGAGGACAGTGCCTGGAATGTCTGAGGAGCAGTCAGTGCAGCAGTAGTCCAGGGAGTCCCTGAGATCAAGGAGATTGCTGTTGCCCTTAAAAATCACTCGCAGCTCAGATGTAGGGGACCCACAGTGACAAGGTCTTAGGAGAACAATTGAACACCAAAATGAAATGTCAGCATCCCCTGGCTCTCGCAGGAGCAGAGTAAGAACTGTGAACGAAGAAGAAGAGGCTGGGTTCTGGGCAAGCCCTGGTAGGGGGACACAGGAGGCATCCAATGCCTCGCTTCTGCGTTCCCATGTCCTCCAAGCTGCAGTTCTTTAGGGAAGTGCACTTTACCTTCTGGAAGCTGCTGGTGGTTGAAGAACTGGGATTTGGGACCTCCTACAGCATGCATTACGCAGGTGGAAGATTTCGTGTCTGGAAAAGGTGATCCAAACCTGATCGTTGGAGGGTCTGGACAAACTTTGTTGCATACTGACTCAAATGAAATCAAATAGCAATTTCCATCTGGAAATTACACATGTAAAGAGGCAGGATATCCCCATGACCACCCTTTCTGCAGTTCTCTTACCCCCAGGCTGGCTCTGCCTAAATGGGGGGACAGGGGCTTTCCATGCAGATCTGGCTGCCCAGCCATGCCAGAAAAGGGAGGCTGGAGGCTGAGAAAGGGCAGGCCTGGGAGGGAATGTGGGCAGGCACCAGGGTCCTGAGTCTTGGCTAAGACATTGCTGGACCCTTTGAAGAATCACTTTTCCATTGTCCAGCAAGTGTACAAGCCCCTCACAGTCAAATTCCAGCTTGTCTACTTTCCCACCTTTCCCTTTACCCTTCCACCAGCTCCAGGTAGTGCATGCATCCCAGTCCTAGGTCATTGCCTTCCCACCCCCCATGAGCTGCTTCAGCTGTTCTTAGCCTGGGAGCAAGGATTTCTCAGCTCCAGTTTAAATACAGCCCACCCCAAGAAACATGTCCTGACCACCCCACCCATGAAAACTAATGGCTCTGTGCTCCTTGCTCTCTTGGATAGAGTTTCTGGGGCCATACGCCTTTTCACTTGGTATTTGTGGATGAAGGTCAAGGAGTGTGTCTAGTCTCACATACTGTCTTGAATAAATAGGGCTTAGGAAAGGTAGAATGACCTATGCCAGGCCTCCACTCAGGTGTCTGGGACACAGAAAGGAGGAGGAGGAAGTGGGACTCACCCTCAGGGCTCAGAAACTTTAGAAGAAACTTTAGAAGATGCCATACAGGAAGAGACCCTTACAGAGCCATTTTGACTGCCCATCTTTGCACACAGCAATGCCCCCAAGGAACTGCTTCCATCGAGCTTAACTTTCAAATTCTTTCTTAGCAAATTAGGAGGCCAATGCCATGGCCAAGTCCCATTCTACAGGGATGAAGTCTAGATAGTGACCTTTCCCCAACAGCTCCTTGCTGCATGGGATGGAGGCAGTGTTTTTCAAACATTGCTGGTTGTAACTTATAGCAAGAAATAGTTTAATCTCTACCTAGTACAAATTTACCCACTGATATGTGAGCCAGGGTCTTGCTATGTAGCTCAGGCTGGCCTGGAACTCACTGTGTAGCCCAGGCTGGCTTCGAATTCATGGTGATCCTCCTGCCCCAGCCTCTGGAGTGCTGGGCACCATGCCACCACACTCAGCATATTCTATTTCATTCTCATTTTATTTTAAAAAATTGTTAGACCAGCAAATTTATTTCACTACCTAATAGTGGGTCAGGACCCACAATATGAAAATCATTTGGGCAATTGTCAAGATGTTAAGAGTCAGATGGATACAGGTTTGAGAAACCAACAATGTTTTTTTTTTTTGGTACCAGGGATTGAACTTGGGTCCTTGTGCTTGAGCAACAGGTGGTGAAATTTTTTTTTTTTCTTTTGGTACCGGGGATCGAACTCGGGCCCTTGTGCTTGCGCAGCAGGTGATGAAACCACTGAGCTAAATCCCCGGCCCTCTGGATCCAAGTTTGAATCCTGGCTCTGGAACCTAGAAACTGTGACTTTAGGCAGTCCACTTTCCATCTATAGTAGAAGCTCAGTTTCTTCATGTGTAAAATAAGGACAACAGAACCTGCTTCATAGATGATTGTAGTGAAGTGGGAGAACAGAAGCAAAGTTTCTGGCCCCAAGGAAGTGCCTGATAAGCGGAAGCTTGATGTACATGTGAAGATTATGGTTGTTAGCTCCCTGGTATCACTTGGCAGGGCCAGTAGGAGGAATGAGAGTCCTGCTTCCTGGGGAGTGGTAGTCAGGAAAGACTTTGCGGAGGAGGAGGCATTAAGGAAGGTGATAAGATGACTAGGACCTGCTCCTGTCCTTACAGTGATTGGGAACCCCGTTTGAGCATCCCAGCCAAAAACCTCATGAAGGGCAGACTTGTGCCCAAGGAATTTTCTGGCTAGACTTAGAACTGAAAAGTGTTAGACACCCTTGCTTTTTGCATTTAGGTCTCTAATCCACTTGGGATTGATTTTTGTGTCTAGTGTAAAGATCCAATTTCTTTTTACCCCTGTTTCTGAATGGATAACCAGTTGCCCCCACACTGTTTATTAAAGAGTCCATCCTTTCCTACTGATTTGTACATCACCTCTCTCATATATCAAGGTTCCACATGTGTACAGATCAGTTTTTGGCCTCAATTCTGTTCCAGTGGTCTATTTATCTGTCCCTGTGCCAATACTACACTGTCTTAGTTACTGTAGCTTTATAGTGATTGCTGATGTAGGTAGGCTTATCTCTCTAGCCTTCTCTAGACTTCCCTTAGAAGTCGCTGGGGTTGCTTTGGGCCTGGACTCTCCTCTGCATGCTTCAGAATCAGCCTCTGGTTGAAGATGATTGATGGGCCTTGGGGCTCTGGACGAGCTGTCCTCAGTGAGCAGCATCTCTTGTACTCACTGCTGCCATCAACCCCAGTTGCTACTGAAGCTGCTCAGGAAGTACTTTCTAACTGATTTGCAGAGAAAAGCACTGAGAATGTGCCTGAGCCTGAGTTCCTTCTGCCTGCCACTTGTCCAGTAGCTCTTTTGGTTTCCTTCCGGGGGCTCAGTCCTCCTCGTCCTACCCAGGTTGCCTGCAAGCCCTTCCAGAAGACTGCTTGCTTCCCTGTCCCTGCCTGCCAAGGACATAACCCGGGGAAGACAGGGAGGTTCCTCCATCGGGAATACCAAGGTCCCGAGAAACTGCCCACACCAAAGCTTGGGATACATAACCAAATTCTTAGGCTTAAGTGTTTGCAAATGTTTCCTTTAACTGAAGATAAGCTTGGGGGCTGGGCGAGAGGAAGAGACATGAGATCGTGGTTATCATTTAGTCTGTCCTTGAATGAGCACCCCCAGGTTGGCCTCTTTGCTGCTTTCTCTGGAGACCATTCTGACAGTGGCTTGAATGGCAAGGAAATGACTCACTGCAAGTTCTGACTTCATGAAATGACTTAAAGATTATGAGAAAAGGAAAAAATGAAATGACTTAAAGAAAGGATCATGACTCTTGGGCCAATGCACGTGGTTGGCATGGATTTGGTAAATCAGATGTATGTACCCTAGAGTTCTCAGCACACAAGTGTTTACATGCTTCTGGAATTCAAAATCACTTGCCAAACTGGGACTCAGGTTGGGTTGATGCATTGGATTTAGGGGACCCACCCCCTGGACTGGGATTCTACCTGGTTTACTGTGGACAAAATCCTCCTCTCTTTGGGCTTTCATTTGCCCATCTGTGACATGAGGGTTTGGACTGGATGATCTCCCAGATTCGTTTTAACCCATGTTCCTGTGATTCTATAGCGAGACGAGTGTATAGAAACCAGAAACCGTTCTGTCCATCGTCCTGACAAGAAGATTCTTACTTTTGCCTTGCTTTGGTTATTGATGTCTCCCTCCCTGTGGGGAGGAGGATGGTGGCTCTGGCTGGCTGGGGTTAGGCCAGAGGCCTTGCAGGCTACAAGACAGCCAGGTTAGATTTCTCATGAAGCTGTGTGGACTCCTGCCCACCTCTTCACCTGGGGAGCATTGTCATTCTAGAAACTATCTAGATCTGTCAGTCTGAATCTGCCCTTCCAACATGAGGGAATTCCTGACCCCTTGTAGGCTCTGGCACAGGCTTGGATTAGACCAGAACACGGTGTTGGTTTTGTTTATGGTGTTTTGGACTATGGTACTGAGATGTTTCTGTCTCCTCTTTCAGACCACTGAGTACTCAGCCATGGCCTCATTGGCTGGAGGGCTGGACGACATGAAGGCCAACCTGACCAGCCCCACCCCTGCCGACATTGGGAGCAGTGTGCCAGGTCCACAATCCTACCCCATTGTGACAGGTGAGGGGACCTAGGGCAAAGGGGTTGAGGGGAAGAGAGGGAGAAAGAGGATGCACTCTTGGTGGGAGGAATGGTTTCTTGGTACTTTTGGACTCCACTGGCCATTTTTGCTTTAATGAGGTTATGAGGTCCTTGAACCAGTCAGGCAGGAAACTGCTTGGGGCCATGGGTTGTAGCTGTGATAAGACATGTCTGTATACCGTTCCAAGAAAGCCGGAGAACAAATGCCAAAGGGACTGTGGGCTGGGAGGAGTGACAGGGAATCTTGTCAGAGGGCTCCTGTAGGTGGGGCCAGCTGTACAGAGGTCTGGGATTTATCCATCTCATGAGCAAAGCATCCCTGATTGGCAGCAGCTTCAAGGAGGAATGGAATTTTTTTGCAGCTTGTCATTGGCATTTCAAAATTTCAGCAGAGGCTGAGTCAAGAAGGGCAGGAAGCTCAGGCTGGGCGTGTGCCAAGCAGCTGCCTTCCTGGAGGCCAAGGCCAACCTCATCATCACTGTCAGGGTAAAGATTTAAGCAGGAGATTCCTGGGCTCTCATCAATAGAGCACTTGCCAAGTATACTCCAGGCCCTGGGTTTCATCTCCAGCATTGCACCAAACAACACAACAACAAAAAGCATGGGCTCTCCACTCACTGCTGGGTTTGAACCTGCCATTTACTAGCTGTACATTTATCTTGGGGGAGCCACACAACAACACACAAATGCCTGCTGTGGTTTTCTGAGCTGTCTGAGTGATAGCACCTACTGCACAGAGTTGTTCTGAGGATGAACAGGCTCACACCTCTGAGGTGCTTAGATTCTTGCCTAGCACACAGTTAGCACCCAATATATGTGGCTATTGTCACTCCTCTCAGAGCTCTCTCACGCAGCTGGTCTCAGTTATGTATGTTGCTGCAGCTGCCCTCCACCCCCTACATCCCTTGGCTCAGCAGCCCTGGGTACTATGGAGCATTAGGAATAGTCTAAACTGCCAGCACCTGGAGAAGTCCACCCTGGCAGGCAGAAGGCTCTTAGACAATGGGGTGCTGGGGGCTACACTTGGGCCAGAGCCTCTGGGTGCAGCCCAAGCTGGAAGGATGCCCCTGTAGACTGGCAGGCAGAACAGAGATGAGGTGTTCTTAGACACACATAGGTAGGCTGTTGGTGCATCAGGGAGGGTGCAGGCTGTCCTTGGCTTAGAGAACTTTAGGGATTGGGACGTATGAGACAGGATCTCAGTCCCAGGGGCCCTTTAGATCTGAACAGCAAGGCAGGGAGGCCAGCTTTGTGACCTGAGCTGAAGGTCAGCACTGAGGCTGGAGCAGCTGAGGCCCCACTTGCATGTCTGGGTACCACATGGGAGTAAGACAGGGGCGGAATAACTTGGTTCCTGAGCACATGAGATGGGGTAGAACTTGCAGGTAGGGAGGGTGAAGTGGGCTGGGAGCCAGGGAGCTTCAGTTCTAGTGAACTTTTACTGACATCACAGATGTTCGATGAAGTCCTCTCTGGTGATGTCACCATCGACCACGACAGTACCTCTGATGACACCTCATTTTACAGATGCAGAAGCCGGTCTCAGAGTGGCAGAGACTGGGGAGTAAGGGGTACGGTGGACAGTCAGAGCTGGCCCACAGTCTTCTAGATTCTGTGACCTTATTCTTTTCAAAGAACTATGTAAAATTGCAGAGGGCAAACCAGAAAGAAGTGTGGGCCAGCTCATAGTAATAGTCATTGTCACTTCATTGAGTGCTTAGGCACTAAGTACAAGGCACTCTGTTGAGTATCATTTTATACTCAGAGGATTCCTGGGAGATGGCACAATTAATATCATGTCCATTTCATGACATGGGGCAGGTAAGTTGTTTTTTTTTTTCCTGAGATCACAGCCAGTATGCATGGTGCTGTGATTAAACACCAGGGCTTGTGCTGCTGGCCATTCTGCTGCACAGATAAGCTGGGGGCCAGCCCCAGTGCTGTCACTTCCTGTGGTCTGCCTTTGAACACAGCTCTGAGCCTCAGTTTTTCCATTTATGAAATGGTCCTGGTCTCTCAGCATCCTTGTGATGACCCACTAAAATCCCTGAGGAGAATGTAATAACAGAGAGGATGGTTTACGACTGGAATTGGAGTGCATGGAAACTCAGGTTTAGGCAGCTCACAAGGAGACTTTACATCATTTGTGTACATTCATATTTAGGTGGATAGTAACCCCGGGAGTGTGCAGGCTGAGGTCAATTTCTGAGGCTCCTGTCTGCAGAAGTGGATTGCAGGAGGCCAGCTAGCAAGGCCCGTCTGGCCCACAGATGAGCACAGTATAGTTGGGCCCACACAGGACTTTTAGACATTTTAATCCAACACCTTAATAAGTGAAAATCTGGATTTTTGGCTCTCCTTGAAAAATCCATATAGCCAGCCCCTCTGGGCCTTATTCCCACATGGCCATGGTAGGTTAGGGCTCAGTAGCAGCAGCCCCTTGAGGCAGGTCCTCACAGTCCCCAGCCAGAGGCTCTGTCATTTATCTTGCAAGCCCAGCCTGACAAGGCCTGTGAATCAATGTCCTTCGTGTAGGAGTTTGTGCTAAGGGCCAGCTGGGTGGGCCCACTATCCTGCAGTCTGCAGAGGGCTTCAGTAGGCCCAGGTACCAAGTCTAGGGGCAAATTGGGTTTTGGTTAAACTAACCAAAGATCTGTTTGTGCTTTAATTCCCCTATTTTAAAGCACATTAGGGAGCCAGAAGTGAATATAAATATCCCAGACTAAAGTCAGAATTATGCTTAATTTTGAAATATTAGAGATATTGTAATTATCAATATAATCATTCTTATAAGTAAATAATAGTTACCATAATAAACGGAAAGACCTCATCAACCACAAAAATATATTAACTACCTAGGAATAAACTTAACTTTAAAACTCCACTAAGAGACATAAAAGAATAAATGGAGAGATGTTGTTTGTTCTTAGACTGAATATCATAAGATGCAAATCCCCCCTAAGTAATCTATTAATGCAAAGCAGTCCCAAGCCAAATATCAAGGGATTTTAAAAAATACATTAAAATGATTCAAATACTAGGTAAATAAACATTCTAGGACAATTAGGAAAATTCTGAAATAAATGAGAAGTCCTAGCACATTTAAAAATCCAAAATATAATACAACACAAAAATTCTGTTGTGGTTAATGGAACCTTTGAATTAGCACTCAGACACACACACGCACTGAGTATCAGATGCTGTGCATGAAGATTCAGTAGATCTTTGAGCCCCTTCCTCTGGCCCACCCCAGTGAGGTCCTATAGTAGGTGTGCACTGAGCTGGGGTTCTTACTCAGCTCACCCAGAGTCCCCTTTGGATAGCAAATATTTACAGTGCCCGTTCACCATCTTGAATTAAGTTTAGAAAGCATGTAACCTGTCTTCACATCTAATTTCAAATAAAATCAAATCAATGCCTCATGAGGTAAAGGAGAAATGAAAATAAAATTGTTGATAATTAAATAACCACTATTTAATATGTACATATTCTGAATATCTAAACTGTGCCATGTAACAAACTGGCCCAGGACTTTCCTGACGCAGAGAAGCCCTGTGACTACAGGAACCCTGAACGCAGGCTTCTGAGGAGGCGTAGACCAGGGATTTAGCCGGCTCAGATTGCCAATGTGATTTTCCAAATAGCACAGCAACTCTTGGCCAACTTTCAAGTAAAACAAAGTATGAGCTTTGTTCGATTTACATGGTAGTTGCACTCCTAGAAAATTCAGAGTATATGAAGACCATGGAAATGGCAAGATCACATTTATATGTAAATGAAGTTCAGTTTTAGATACAAGTAATTATAAACAGATTTTTCACCTACCTGAATGTTTGGCAGGACCTGAGAATAGTGTGGGGTGAAGGAAAATTCTTCATTGTGTGGGACTGTTCCACTGCCAGCCAGTAAAGCCCCTCCATCATATAAAAACCCCCACAGAATTTCAGAACACTCTTTATGAAGCAGTCACTGACCCCACTGAGAACTGTTAGAAGGCTTCAACAACCCAAGAGTTGTTGAGGGGCTCCATGTATCTATGGGGCATTCATTTAACTCCCCTCATGTTAGTGGCTATGCTGTCACAGTCCTGAACTCTTCAGGGGGAAACCAGAGTCTCCTAACCCACTCTGCATTTCTTTCCTACCCACAAGACCCAGAGCATAGTAGGTGGACTGTGACCCCAGCCCATGGCTCTACTTGGAGTCTGAGGGGACAGGGGGTCCTTAAACTGCTTCAGCCTCACACTCCTGGGTGCTCAGGGAAGATCTCATTAGAAAATGAGTTGATTTCTCTCCATTGTTTATATGCCACATTAAATATTAAGCCAAACCCCTGCTCTGGGCCACGGTTCAGAAACTGCTCACCATTTGCAAACTGGTGACTTGACCAGCTAGTTCCTGCACTGTCAGCAGTTTGGCCTGTCTTCATTGGGACTAATTATCTGCAGGTGTATCCTTGGGCCATAGGCCTGCTGATGGGGGAGCCATTGTGCCAGAGAGGACAGCAGGTGGAGAGCCAGGCTCCCAGTTTCGGCTACCTCCCCACTGGCCAAGGAGCTAGCAGTCTTGCCCCTAGCTGGGCCCACCTGACCTTTGCCTGGGAGAACAAGGGAGTAAGGCCAGCCTGTGTCCTTGTTGGTCTCTTCCCCTGGGGACCATATTTTTGCATCAGCAGGTTGGAATGTCAGGAGATGGAGAGAGGCCTCCACTGGTCCTCCAAGTCTGGCAGGTGCTGGTCTGGTAGGTGACTGGGGCCCTAGGGTCTGAGGCTTCACCCTTGGCACTGGCCCTGGGCATAGAGACACCCACCAACACAGAGTGGCTGCCAAGTACCTGAGTCCATCAGCTCGGATTTGCTGCATTCCTTGGTTCACTGTTTAGCACCTCAGTGCGCCAAACTTGGCAGCCCAAGAAAGCATAGCCTCTTCTGCCTTTTTCATCTGATCAATAGCTAAGGGCTGGAGGAAAAGATGCTGGAAT